AAATAAAGCCTTCTCAGGTCTCCATGAGCCATAGGACACCCTCTCCCATCAACTCGTGTAAATACGTCCAAATTATGCCAATTACATTGGGGCACCTCCCCCCTACTCTGCATGCCTCCCCCAACCTGGACCCCTACCTCCCAACTCCACCTCAGCAATAAGCGCCAGGGGCTGCATGCCACGCGGTTGAGGGAAGGGGTACTCTGGGAAGGGGCGGGGACCTCAAGGGGTGGGCCACGGCAGGGTGTCGAGCCTCCTGCCCTTCACCCCAGGAGGGCAACGCATCATGCAGTGATTTTTAAAAAAATAATTAGCGACCATGTGGGGGAAGGAGGAACTGTCAGCCAAGCCAAAAACCCGAGCTGAGCTCAGATGGCAGGAGGGGGAGGGGCTGCGGACAGCCGCTCCCTCAGCCTCCAGGAGGATCCCTCTGGTGAATTGCACCCTTACACACACACACACACACCCCACACACACCCCACACACCAGGGATCTGCTCGCCTCTGTTCTTGCTGCATGGACTCAGACCTCCCATCCCAGAACTGCTGGGGTGGTCTGGCCCTAGCACACAAAATGCCCCCAAACCCCCTCCAGATTCCCAGGACATGAGACCTGCACCCAGAATTCCTGACACTGACCCTGGCACCCCGCGTCCCCCCAACCCCCCACACTCCTGGAACTCAGCCTCTGCACACAGATGCTGCCCGCCAGGCCCCACCGCCACCACCCCCTGGAGTGCATCCCGGCACCTCATCCCCCAAGAGGTGACCCAGCCCTGCAGCTCACTTCAGCCTTTGGGATGCTCCAAAACCTTCCCAGTCTCGGACATTTCCAGGACACCCCCAAATCCTCAAGCCTCAACCCCACAGACACCCCCAGATCTCTGCCATCAGACGCCCACCTCAGGTTCCCCGGCCGCTAGAATTTCCAAGATGGGCCCGACCTGTCTGCAATTCCAGGGAACCCGGCCTTTCCAGGGCACCCCCTTTCTTATGCCCAACCTGCGCCCCCTACAGCGTCTTCCCTCAAACGGTACCCGAAAGGTACCCTCTTCACGGATGCCAGTGTTCCCCAGAGGTGGTGTCTGTGCCGCTGCTGATGCGCAGAGGTTTTAGGCAGAGCAAGGACAGACACCTGGAAGATTCTCTCTAATGAAAGGCTTTGTTTTCTACGGCACTTCGCACGGAGGCCAGTAAATCCAGATGCTAACGCTTGGCCAGGACTCCGTTTACTAGGCTAGGAGCGTCTCCACTAAGCAGAGACTGTGCCCGGATGGACGGACACGGGACTATTAGAAGCTTAGCAAACGACAACCTACCCACCCGGGCCGATCCCAGCTCGCCGTTCCCGGCGTTCCTCGCCCCGCCACGCCCGCGGGTGGAAAATCACTTCTCATATCCCATCCTGGCTCAAGGATGCGCTACCTCCCCCAAGCCTGGAGACCACACCGGTCCCAGAATCCTTAGAGAACCCCCTTTTTGAAGCTGGGGGCCCACAGAATTAGTAACCTTCCTCCCTGTGCTCCCACAGCCTCAGGAACCTCCCCACCCCCCACCCGAGGGTTGGGGGGGTGTCACTGAGCACGATTCTTGATGCAACGATTCCTATGCAAGGGGCATTTTGAGTCCCCCCCATCCTTCCCTCGGACCCTAAACCCTGGCGAATCAGGGGTGAGGGGTGGGGCAGGTTCTGCGGGGAGCGGGGCGGGGCAAAGGGCTAGGGGCTCCAGACACCAGGGTATGGGGTGGGGACTGATTATATTGCCAAAGGGTTTAACTTCTTTAAA